TGTGTGTGTTTTACTGTATCTTTTCATCATAAAGACAAATTTTACAAATATTTATTTCACGAAGAAAATTTTAATATTCAAATCGTATCAAGATTTCTGACTTGTTCTTTATGCAATGAAAAAATAATTTAAGAAATCGTAATCGCAAAATAATGGTGTAATGCGTGGCATATCTAGAAATACGGATGATAACAAGAAAGACAAATACAAAGATCAATGACAACAGCAACTATAACATCTTTGTCAGACACCAAAACAATTTATTAATATGAGTTGAAGATTCTTATTTAAAAGAAATATGTTCTAAAAACTCTCTATATCAGTCCTTAAAATTAGAATAACCAGTTAAGAACGTTAGAATAGAAAACGGCGAAACAACTATGGTGATAATCCATTAATAGAATATTTCTTAGAAATATCTGATGAAAGAAAAAAGTAAAATAATGAATATATATACAACGACGAATTTTATCAGCAATAACAGTAATCTTTATTTCTTTGGAACTACCATCTATACCTGATAAATCATTACATTTAGTTTGATTAAGAAAAATCTATGATGCTGAAATCAGGAAAGTCAAAAGACCACTCACTAACTACAGTATCATAACAAGATAAAGCTGATGTTATAATTGTTTATGGATTTGAAATATGAGATTCCGAACAATACTCATGAAATGAATTAGAAAAGAATTGATACATCAAAACAAATATATATTCGAAAATATTTTACAATAAATCTTTGTTTAGTAATTAATTGATCTAGAACTTCATCAAAAACTCAACCATATATTCATTCATTTTAAATTGTGACACACGATGAATTTCGCATAACAGACATCGATTAAAACGATTTTTCTCTAAAAAAATTTACATAAATTATTTGATCGTTTGTATAATGAAAGTAATGAAGAAATTTTAGTTTTCGAAAATAATCATCATTATTCAATGAAAATGATGTCAAAGAAAAGGGTAGGTTATCATTTGCCACAAATTGTGGTTCCCTAAATCAATCCGTGAATCGAATCCCTATTTGTGAATACATGAAATCCTATCGTATATTCTGGTGACCAAATAGGGATTAATTTAGGGATCTTTTTTAGGGATCAATTTAGGGAATTGCGATTTGTGGCAAATGATAAACATTCAAAGAAAAGAATAAAATTTCCTACATGGAAATTCAAACAATAACCATTGAAATGAATTGTTTTTGTTTTCTTTTTTTTTTTAGTCACTGAGTTACGGCTGTGAATGTAATGTAAATAGAATAAGTACATATTCATCGTCGACTGACGATAAATTGATCGTCGATGATTATCTATTAATCATTATCATTGAATGATAGTTCATGTTTTTCAAATATCCTATATAAGGAATGATTTTCTTGTATAAAATCATTCAATTCAATCGATCTATTGTATCAACAATAGATTGAATAAGTATTCTAATAAATCTTATTTTTTTTTCAGGAGGTGCAAGATACAATTATGTACATAATTATGATATTTATACATATATATATATTCAATCTTAAATAGGGTATGTTGTTTCTTTTTTTTTTTTTCGTATTGGGATAAAAAATTTATAAATAAGTTGAAAAGTTCTATTGGCCACTAGAACTTTTCAAGTTATTTTTTTCTTTCATACTTGTGTTATTCTGTAGAGAGGGAGATAGATACTATTTTATATCACAGCCCGTCAGATGGCTTCGTAATCTGACCCAGGGAGATTTCTTGTGCCTATGTTGGCGAAAGCAGTGGAGTACTCGGGAAGGCCGTCTGTTCGTAGATCCCTGTCGCCGTTTACGTACGTCACACCTATGTTCATGCCCTATCAGTCCGGCGTGGTCCGCTGTGCGTGTAACCATTGCGGGCTTACAGGGAGTCTTCCTGGTCGCGCGCGCGTACGCGAGAATCAATTGTAATGCAAATAAATTTATTCAGCAAATCGAAAAAAAAACAAATTACATTTTCTTTCGAATTTTTTCAAATGTTTCTTTATATTCCAAAATATGAGGATGATTTGAAGGTAATTTTTCTTGAGCAATTTCTACGGCTTGTTGAACATTTTTCATTGCCATATTATATTGTCGAGTAGATAAATATAATTTTGCCAAATTGTGATATACAATAGCTAAATCAGGATGATTTTTTGGTAGTTTATTTTCACGTATTTCTAATCCTTTTTCATAATATGTCAATGCTGTTGTATAATCTTTCATTTGACGATATGTTTCACCTAAATCTATATATGTCGTTGCACATTCGAGAGGATTACATTGAACATTTTCTTGAATATTTAATGCTTTTCGATGAAATGCAATTGCCTTCTCATAATCACTCATTAAACGATGAACATCACCAATATTACTATATGTAATAGCTAGATTGGGATGTCTTTCTGGTAATGTTCGTTGAAATATTGCGAGGCATTTTTGAAAGTAATCAAGTGACTTTGAATAATCTTTCATATTGCAATAAACTCTTCCAAACCTACTGTATGTTAAACCAAAAGCTGAATTACCTTCTTCAAAAGCTTTTTGCTGAATTTGATAAGCATTTTCAAGGTTTTTAAGAGCTGTTGTGTAATCACCCATTCTTTCGTAACATGCTGCAAAACTTAAATGGCTTCCAGCCAAATGAGGATGATTCGAAGGCAGTGCTTTTTCGTAGATTTGATGTGATTTTTCGTAAAATTCAAGTGCTTTCGAGTAGTCACCCATGTTCTTATACACTTGACCGATGTTGTTGTATGAAGTAGCCAATGAGGGATGATTCGACGGCAGAGCTTTTTCTTTAATTTTAAGTGATTTTTCGTAAAATTCAAGTGCTTTCGAGTAGTCACCCATGTTATTATACGCTTGACCGATGTTGTTGTACGAAGTAGCCAATGAGGGATGATTCGAAGGGAGAGCTTTTTCGTAGATTTTATGTGATTTTTCGTAAAATTCAAGTGCTTTCGAGTAGTCACCCATGCTATTATACACTTGACCGATGTTGCTGTATGAAGTAGCAAACCGTGGATGATTCGGAGGCAGAGATTTTTCTTTTATTTCAAGTGATTTTTGGTAAAATTTAAGTGCTTTCGAGTAGTCACCCATGTTATTATACACTTTACCGAGGTTGCTGTATGCATTAGCCAAATCAGGATGATTCGCAGGCAGAGCTTTTTGTATGATTTCTAGATCTTTTTCGTAAAATTCAAGTGCTTTCGAGTAGTCACCCATGTTGCGGTATACTCCACCGATGTTGCTGTATGAAGTAGCCAATTGGGGATGATTCGAAGGCAGAGCTTCTTCGTCGATTTCAAGTGCTTTTTCGTAAAATTCAAGTGCTTTCGAGTAGTCACCCATGTTGTTATACACGAGAGCAATGTTGTTGTAGGTGGCACTCAGATCGATATCGTCTTCGGAGGTATTTTGTTCTGTGATTTCGATTGCTTTTCTATAAAATGTAATTGCTTCTTCGTATTGTCCTTGGTGGTTTTTCGCCCGTCCGAGTTGATGGTGGATATGTGCTCTTTCCGTATCGTCGGATGTCTTTTCGTGTAAGGTGAGATATAACTCTTCAGCCTTGTCGGATTGACCTATTTGTAGTAACAATTGTCCCATTCGATACCATCCTGTGCCGCTGACGTCTTGGCGTATAAAATCGGATAACTCACGAAGTTGTGGGTCATCATCGGAGGTTAGTTTCAGATCTACTTCATAAATGGAGTTGTTGTTGTCGTTTTCTCGAATGTCAACAATTCGAAAAACTGTATGCATTGAGAAGAGAATTTCGTCTTCACCTGGCATCTCGCTCACCTCCTTGATGGAGGCGAATGGAGTCGTTGAAAGTGTAGGATCAATAGTAATGATGAAAAGGATACTGACCTTGCCGGTTGTATGTGAACCTTCCTTGACGAATTTGAGTGAGACATCACGTTTGGTGCTGGTAGATAAAAAGTTATTGAAAGAAATTAGCCCGCCTTTATTATTTGCGAGCTTTTCAAAATCAGCTTTCGATACACGTTGTCCTCGAAAGACTGTAAAGATCTTGTCACGATAGTCACTGACCTGGTTCTCGTGCATAGTTTCGATTTGTCGATGCACATCGCATAAAAAGAAACCCATTCGTATCATAGTATCACCATTGAGTGTTCTTAATGCAGCATTCAACATTTTGTATGTAAAACATTCTCTTGTATACCACTCTATGGCATTGGATGCTTGATAAGTTTGTTGAAATTCGTCAATAATTTGGAGTTCTTTTGGATTATCATGATATTTTTGTTCACAATACTTGACCAAATCTTGAACGGCTTTTTGGTCATGTTTTATTTCAAGAAGTATTTCCTTGAATATCTGTGAATACATAAAAGAAGGTTCTAGCTGATCCCGATCTTTGCTAGAACCTTCCTCATTAAGGCTGACAATGCTCACCGGTATATTGTCTTGGTTGCACTGTTTGATAGCTGTTGCGAGCTCTTCACATATAGGTTTCATTGTTGTATGCACACCATTGATTTTTGGCCAATTTTGAGTCCATAATTGATGTTGTTGTTCGTCGTCACAATAGATAAAAATGGCATTCAATGTTTCCTTGTCATGGATGTCTGGTACCAAGTGTTGTCCAATTGCATTAGAGGAGATAATGAATGAGATCTCCTCGTCATTGTTAACCAATTGTTGAATGCATTGTTCAGCTGTTGTACATTGTTGCACTTGATTTACAACAGCTTTCAATTGTTTCATTATATTTTGGCAATCTTGATTTGCCATGTCGATATTTTCGTCGACCCAGATCACCGAATAATCTTCAACGATGCGTCGTCTTGGTTGTTGACTCATTTCTGATGTAAGGTTTCGTATGCGATTGGTAACTGTGTAGTGCTAAAAGTAAATGGCTGTTTGGACAGAGTTTACCTTTAGTATTTATATATTTGATGCACGTTGTGTTTTTTTTCTAGATTTTTCTCCGACGTAAAACATGAATATTTTGTTTTTTCGTTTACACTCAATAACAAAATATGCCTAGTAGTAATTGAAAGTATGCTTATCAAAAATAAATTAAAGGGAAAAAACCCACAACATCACTGATCGTATGATATTTTTTTCCAACTTTCATTAACGTTTCAAATGAAGCGTGACTTCAATTTCATTGCATTAGATACCTTGTCTTATGCGTTGTATAATTTTGTTTCATTCTCTGTAAGGAGAACGAAAAAGACGGCAAGGACAGCGTCAGTGTAATTTCTTTTTCTCATTATGCATATGATTGACATGCTGATAATGTGAACGAAACAACACAAAAAATATAATTTCAATTTTAATTGAGGCAATAGTTAAACAACGATTTCTACTTGCCAAATACACTGTTATTGAAGTCTGAAAATTATGAAAGATCGAAGTAGTTATCACAAATTTTATATGCATGGAACACCGTAAATGTAGGCTTTAGATATTGGTATAGCAATCGACAAGTAAAAGTTATATATCCATTATCATCCAAATTTCATCTACCCAGGTGAAACAATCCTATTGTATGATCTTGTACGATTCTTACAAGATCATATAAGAACGTACATCTGATCTCCCATGATCATACAAAATCATATGAAAATCATATACGATCTTGTAAGATTCTATATGATCTTACTATTAGATCTTATACGATCCTATAAGGTCCATGTATGATTTTCCAGAGTTGCATAAAAAGGTATATAGCTCGTTTTTTCTCTTTCATTTTATATGGCTTCCATTTTTAGGGACTGTTTTATCCTAAATCCACTGAGAGTATCAAATAAAATAAATAAGTAAAGTTAAATTTAATTATTGGCTTCATTTGATGCATTTATGTGCAAATAAATACATCAAATGCAATGAATATTTTATTATTAAATAAATATTTACTTTGTTTCATCTAATCGTCGATATTATCTAAAATAAAAAGAAATAGAAGATTTAAATTAAAGAAACACTCACTTTATTTGGCTACAGAGTTGATGTCATCTAAAATAAAAAGAAACAATTTAAAAAAAATTACTTCGTTTGGTCTGATCGTAAATATTACATAAACAAAATAAAGGATAATTTAAATTAAGTAAATATTTATTTTCTTTATATTAATCGCGGATATCATCTAAAATAGAAAAAAGACAATTTCAATTAAATAATCGTTTACTTTATTTGGTTTAATCGTCGATATTATCTAAAATAAAACTAAATAGACAATTTAAATTAAATAAATACTTATGTTTTTCGGATTGGTCGTTGACATCATCTAAAATAGAATAAAATAAAATATAATTTCAATTTAATACATACTTTCTTGAATTGCATTAATTTTTATTAATTGGTTTGCTTGCACTCTTCCGCCGCTCTATATTTAGTGCTTTTAAGAGGTTGATTTATTTTCGTTTCAAATATGTTCTATTGATACATATGAGCAATTAGAGTAGCTTATGATAAATATATATATTTAAAAAAATTATTATAAAAGCTACAATTTTAATTATCATTTTCTGATGATAAGTCATTTTTCTTGTTGTTAAGCTTTGTGTTTGTTGTTGCTTTTTTTTCAGATTTTTACGAGAAAAAGAAATAAATGAAATGAAATGGTAGTATTTCTTAATTAAAGGTCATTGGAAATATCAGCACAAAATAGAGTGATAGATGAGGACAACGGATTCAAAACTAATTTAAGTTCAGTTTTAATTGAAGAATAAGAATCATTGGCTAAGATTCTTTTCTGATTTATCTTTCTCAAATGAATCGAAATTTAAATGTTGATTTATGTCAATCATTTTCCAATACTTCGGCATATACAAAAATATCCTAATATGTACGCCTAGTATAAACAAATGCATGGATTTGTGTAGGCTCCTTCAAGCTGGACAGATAGTGGAAGACTAGAAATTTTCCAAGGCTATGACTTCCTTCTTTCAATGCTTAAATCGAACAGTTCTCTCTTCTCCATCATTGAAAGTTTATTTAATATATTTCTCCGAGAAGAAACTCTGAATAAAAGTGATATTTAATGTATGAGACTTTCATTATAAAAACTATTTACATAAGACAAATCTAAATTATGATCCCATAAGATCATATAAGATCATACAATATGAATCTTACAACATCCGATGTCAGTAAGATCTTGCGAGATCTTATATGATCTGCGTATGATTTTTTCACCTGAGTAGACACATCCAAAAAGCTTCAGTTTTATCGTGTAAAGACTGAATACATCATCACTCACAATTTTGGTAGAGCAATTTTTGATTTTTATTCGTTTGTATTATTTGTATAATAAAAAAGAAATTTTGTTTTCTTTGTGTTATGTTAACTGCTATTATTTCATTATTTTCTACAATTCATATAGAAATCATATTCAAATTTTGTTTATTCATATTTAAAACCCGCACAATTTAAACATATGTCACAATGAGAATGAGAAAATCTCCTGTTGTATACAAACAGGCATTTATTGATAGCTATTCTTTGCTTGTACGCATTTGAAAGAAAATCATGTATGCTTGCATATAATTAGCAGATAATGAGAAGAATCCTTCAAAGTTTTTCAGCTAAAGTTGGTGAAGCTATTGAGGAAACAAATCTTTCTTTCTGAATTCAAAAGCAAAAAACAGCATCGCATTACACACTTGATTTCTTTGTTCAAGTGCAGAAGTATGATATCAACAATGCTTAAATTAGTATACAATTTTATGCATAAGTAAAGAATTTTCTCTGCCAAATGAAAAAAAAGAGAATAAATGTGAACTTATGATAAATTGTTATGCGAGTAATAAAAACTTGCGTTTTTCGTGACTGAGAAACGATTTAGTTATATATTTTTCTTTTATTAACACTCATCCGTAAGTTCATATCAGAATTGATAACATATTACCAACAATGAACAAATAGTAAAATTACATGACTTTTTTTTCTACATAGAATATTGAAAAATTCACTAAAAGCTTTAAACGCAAAAAATGATACGAATAATTAATACACTTTTTTTAATTTAATTTTAAACAAAAAACACTTTCTGTTTTTGGATTTAGCATATTTTCTTAAAATCTCTATTTATTACGCAATGCTCTTCATCTTTTATGTAAATCGTTAATATTTTCTGATGAAGTGATCATTGAAAATGATGATTGTGATGATATTGACTCATTACTTTCTCAACCATGGACTATGGATGTTACGTTATTAGAAGATTTACCTGTATGACTTGGTGATTATGTACAAGAATATATAAAATTACTAACAAAAAGAGAAACAATTGAACAATTACTTAGAAAAACTCAAAATATTGATGATAGTTTCGATATAATTTTAACTATGTGAATTTGTGAGAATATTTTGAGAAAAAAAGAAAACGTTTTCACAATTTTTCAGGTAATCGAAATCAGTTAAATAAATCACGTGAGTTTGAAATAGATATGAAGCAATGTTTTAATATCTTTTTAATCAATGACCAACACATTGATTAGACAAACGAACAATTGTTGATATATCTGTAAATGTCAAGAATAAAGCTCAATGTCTAATTTTTTATTGATCTTAATTATTTTAGGCTAATGAACGAATACATCGATTAAAATCAGTTTCGAGAAATAATTTTATCTATTGTCTTGTTGTATGTTTTGCTGCACTCTGTATTTTAGATTCTTATAATCATCTTCGTTCGATTGCTCATATGTGGTTTAACATTGCTCAAGAATTGCAGACACTAGGAAATAGGAAAATTTCAAAATGAACAAATGTTGAGGATCAAGTAGAACTTGATGAAGATGGGGATCAATTTTATGAATATCCATCAAATATTTCATCTTTGAAATCAAATTTAATGGACTTGTAAGCTGAAGATTATCTTAAATCATGTGAAGTTTAAAAATTATTTCATTCAAATAAAACTCTTTATAATCTTGTCAATCAAGTAATTTTTTATCTTGTGTCTTCGATGATATATATTGAAAAGGGTGTTTTTTCATATTTTAGGCAGCTAATCCATCAAATACAATAGAAGGTTTTGTACTATGGTACTCTTCATGTTCATAGATCACTACAATGTTCTTGTCTTAAATTAAATTAAAAGTATCGAATGACAATATGAAATAAGAAAAAAATGATAACTATTCGATGTACATATCACTTGATGAGAACATAGGTCATTCATCCTTTTTTTATTTCATATGATGTCTATTATCATCCTCTCAACTAAATATTCTCGTACATTGTATTTAGCCAATTGAATATCCATAAGGGAATCAATATGTTCATCTCAACTCTACCTATTTCAATATTTGATATTATTATCTCATCAACATCAAGCACATTGGTCGCATTGATATTTCAAAATTTCATTGCACTCCTGATATTAGAATTTCAAAGGGTACAAAACTTCGTCAATCTGATCGTCACGTTGGCTTGAAATAGAAAAGAAGGTTATTGATTTTCTTTGATAACCAATAAAATGGACTATTTTTCGTTTATTATTATTATTTCTTCTTTTAGGTTGAAAATATCACAAGATTATCTTGCTACAACATTGTCAAGTCTTTATACATTTAAATATTATTCAAATGAATCACTTTAAAAGTGTCTTGATTTTCTTTATATTTATGATTAATCAACAAAATCAACTGATATTTATATTCTTCAATTTACTTATTTTTATACTGAACAATTAGGCAATTATATTATCATTAATAAAATTGAAGCATTCTCTTTTTCCGATTGATTCATTGTCTTTAATTCTAAGCAGATAATTAACCCTTTGGGGACGGGGTTTTTGAGAAAAAATTAAAGTTTTTATTAGAGTGAGGATATATATTTATTCAATTAAAAATCATCATCAAAAGTGTTCTAGGATATGATAAGTTTTAAAAAAATCAATCACGTATAATCCAACATCACATTCTTCACACTGATATCTTCTATATTTGACTGACTTTTCACACTTTATTGTATGAGAACATACATGACATTTCCTTTGAGCAGTTATTTTTGAGATAGTTTAGAGTGCAGGTGCTGGAAAATGTCTAGCAGATAAACATAGCGGTGAATCAATTGATGGTCTCCCGATAGAAATTCGTTTTTGATAACCATAGTTTGACATAGTATATTTTTTATCAGTTGAACACGAACTTTTTTAACTGTAAATTCTTTGAATTTTACGTTTCATATAAATAGTGTAGATATTTTCGGCACTTTTCGAATACTGGTAATTTATTGTACCCATACAATCATATTATTCTACAGGTTACTTCCACTCACTTCTGAGTGATTTGAAATATATACGATTCTCAAATTTTGTAAAATACGTTAAGTGGTATATATACCACGCCCGTCCCCAAAGGGTTAATAAACTTATTATATTAGATCCACCAACAATGCCAATTGGTTATGAATTACCAAGATTGAATGGTGGTTAATGTGAAAACTGCTTAGGCACAATATTTGAAATATCGTCCTTAATTATATTGGTTTTTGTTTGCTTGTTAAAAATTTCAATATAACTTCGTTTAAGAAACAAATAACTATTGAAGAATATATTATTTATCTTGTTAAAGTAATAATGAATAATCAAATGAGTATTTCTTTTCTCTTTAATAGAATTTGATTATTTTACTTTGATAGACTCTCTGATATGATAGAATCGTTGTTACTTCTATCTGATGATTGTTGAGCATATGCTCAAAAATAACTTAAATCATAGTTAAATTTATCATTAACTTTGTTTTGAGATGTCTACAATGAAAAATTACATGAAATGGATTTGATAAATTCAATGAAGATTTAGATGTTTGTAGACAACAGCAACAATCAATAAGAATAACGAAGCAAAGAAATAATTGATCATTCCAAGAAGTCGAACAATTACGAACACTTATTCAAGTTTGACTAAGTTGTTTTCCAATTTAATTGACTATTAATTGTTTGATTTAGGTTGAAAGTATTACAGGTTCAGTTGATGATCTTCTCAAGTATGTCATGCAACTGATATACTTGATAAAAATACTGTTTATTTAGCACTTTATCATTGATTGTTACAAATAGTACCTATACTATCATATCGTTTTTTTTATCAACTTGTCTAACCATAACATGAACTTCGAAACACGATGAAATTCTTATATATGATAAAAGTGCATTTATTATATAAAATGTTGATGGTACTTTAGTGAGTTATTTAATTTTTTTTGCTTTTCTGTTTTTGATTATTGCATGAGTTCAGGATGAAAGTGTTTTATGGTCAATGAGCAAGATAACGATGTTTTGTTTATTGCCAATGTTCAAAAGAAATTATTGGAAAATATGGTTCATTACCACAATGAAATCTAAGAAGCGCTAGGTGAATAAAAATTCATTAATAAAGATAGTGCTAGTAAAATTTTGCTGATGATATTTCTTTTTTTTTGAGTTTTTCTAACTATTCGTTATATTTGCGCTAATCCATAAAGTTCACGGTTTGGTCTGGTTATTCAAAATAAAAATGATTAAAATTCATATAAATCTTGATGCGATGGATTTAACACAGGTATTTACTACAATTCTAATTCTCCCATCATTTTCACGATAAAAATGTGGTCGAAATAGTGATTTTATTCTTTATTAATCATTATGTATCAATGATCGGGGATGATTAGTTATTTATGAAAATGGACTTCGCGAACATTGTCTTTTAGTTGTTGGTGGTCAAACGAGAAAATCAGAAGGGATTACTGATGATTGTAAATTGAATGCTTACGTGTTAGATGAACCATATTTAGTCATTCAAATGATAAAATTAATATTGAATTATGATATTAAATAATGTAGCATAAGCAATTTGTTTTAGTATATTGGATCGTATGAAAAAAAAACAATATATTTGAAAGAATAAGTAAATAAAAAAATCTTGAGCGATGATCAATAATTATGATACAAGGCAAGAAGAAAACGTCTGAGATAATTGATCAAAAATACTTCATTCGTAATAATAAATTGTAAAGTTAAGTATTTTAATATTTAATCAAGAAAATGATGACATCATTTTTTGAATCAGGCAAAAACGACAAAACCAAATCTCTAAAATGAAACATATATCATTAATTGATTTATCTTATTTTAAAGGTAGTTAGCGTTTGAAAACTATAAAAAAAGTTGCATTTCTTACTTTTTTCAAATTTACTCTAATTCTATTTAAAATTGAAATTCAACGTTATTTATTTGTGATTTTGAGCAATTGATGTTCTAGCAACATAATATTTAAGACTGAATGTTGGATTAAAAAACGAAATACTAAATTTGAAAAGGGTACATGAATGAAATTTACACAGAATTTTCTGTCTCTTGATATCATCAAGAATGGTTTAGATGAGATGTAATCAGAAAAACAGGCAATTGAATCTGCAACATTTGCCATCTCATATGATGTTGACTGGAAGTTACAGCTTTTATTTTTTAATATGCTATGATGAATATTGGTTTTTTTTCAAAATAAGAAAAACAGAACTTTTAATTGCTTTTAACCAAAATGCTATTGAAGTGACGTTCAAAATTCATTGAAAAAATGATCATCCGAAATCAGATAATTGTTGTCACATATATGATGTCAAAAAAACGTTTTACATAAGCAAAAAAAAAGATAATTCATAACTGTCGCAAAAATTTATTGTCATCTCATAAGAACAAACTATCGGGAGAAAAATGATCGAAAGAAGAGAAAACACAATCTGTATATATGTTGATCTATGAAGCTGGTCAATAGCAATAATAATATCATCTTCTTGCAGTGACTACTTATAGGTAGAAAGAACAATTATAATTTGTGCTATTGTTCATAAATCTATTGGATTAGAATGATGCACAATATTCAATATGATGACATGAAGACAAACTATGACAGGAACATTAGAGCATCTCTCTGTCGAATTATTCTACGAAATCTTTATTTATTTCCAGTTTCATGAAGTATATAATATTTTTTCTAACCATAATTAACACATTGTTGCTATCATTTGAAATGAGTATAGGGTGTAGGTGTGGGGTGTGAGTGTGGCAAGGAAGAAAGATCACGCCCACACCCACACCCACCCGCACCCACACCCACACCCACACACCTACACCCCACACCCACCCACCCACCCACACCCACACCCACACCCGCATATTATAGATACGTGCTCTGTCACTATCATCCGATGCCTGTTCTAGTAGTACCATATATAGTTCTTCGGCCTTGTCGAATTGACCTATTTTGAGTAACAATTGCCCCATTCGATGCCATCCAGTGCCGCTGACCTCTTTTCGTATAAAGTCAGTTAATTCTCGAAGTTGTGGATCATCATCTGACGTAAGTTGAAGATCGACTTGATAAAGTGCACGATTGTTGTCAAGTTTTCGCATTTCACCAATGCGAAAGACGGTGTGCATGGTGAAGACAATTTCCTCTTCTTCCTTATAATAGCTCACCTCCTGAATGGAGGCGAATGGAGTTGATGATACTGTAGGATCAATGGTTATTTGGAATAGAATTCCAACCATATCAGTCATTTTCAAGGCTTCTTTGGCGAAAACAAGGGAGATATCTGAATTTGTGCTGGTAGATAAAAAGTTGTTAAAAGAAATAAGCCCACCTTTGTTTTCTGTGAGCTTTTCAAAATCTGCTTTCGATAGGCCTTGCCCTCGAAAGATTGTAAAAATTTTGTTATGGTATTGACTGACCTGATTTTTGTACAAGGTTGCGATTTGACGATGTATATCACATAAAAAGAAACCCATTCGTATCATAATGTCGCCATTGGGTGTTCTTAATGCGCCATTCAGCATTTTGTATGTGAAGCATTGGCGTGTATACCACCAAATGGCGTTGGATGCTTGATATGTACGTTGAAATTCTTTGATAATTTTGATTTCATTCTTATTGCCTTGATATTGTTCTTGGCAGTAGGTGACCAAATCTTGGCCAGCTTGTTGTTCATGTTCGATTTCAAGTAGTATTTCCTTGAATATTTGTGAATACATAAGAGAAGGTTCTAGCTGATCTAGATTCTTGCTAGAACCTCCTGCATTCACACTAACAATGCTTACCGACATGTGATCTTGATTGTATTGTTTGATTGCTGTTGCCAATTTGTCACAAATATCTTTGATTGAGGTGTGAACACCTTTAATTTTCGGCCAATTTTGCGCCCATACTTGATGCCGTTGTTTATTGCCACAAAATATGAAAATGGCATTTAATTTTGCCATATCATGAATGTCTGGTACCAGGTGTTGTCCAAGTGCACCTGAGGAGATAACAAATGAGATCTCCTCTTGATTTTCCATAAGCATTTGTACACATTGTTCAGCTGTCTTACATGGATTAACTTGATTGACGACAGCACGTAATTGTTCCATTGTATTTTGGCAATCTTGATTTGCCATGTCGATATTTCCATCGACCCATATGACCAAATAATTTTCAGCCATACGGTGTCTTTGATATCGAGTCATTTTTGATGCCATTTTTGCTGCTTGATTAGTAAATAGATTGTTGTTTGAATAGATATTACTTTTGCTATTTATACGTTGGATCTCGACTGTTTTTTTTCGTTGAAACTCAAGGTCAAACTTCACCTGGATGTTATCAAAAGTATCGTTGTCAGTAACAAAAGGTAGAGAAAAAAAACCCAGCAATATCATTTATTTTATGGTTATTCTTTCCAACTTTCGTTTTCTTATCATCTATATAGTTAATAGTCACTTGAAAGTCAGTGCGTTGGATGTCTTATCTCATTCAGTTTTTATTTGTCTTTCATTATCTCGGAACAAATAAAGATATTGTCAGTTTTATTTTTTTATTATGCATAAGACTTGCTGTCTGATAATGTGAGTAGAAGAAAATGAAGAATAAATTCAATATTGTTACAAACAACAAGAGAACAACAGTTTCTGCTTGCTCCCCCAATATACTGTTCATCATTCACGAGTTGTTCAAGTAAAATAATAATAGTTCGAATATAATTGAGTATTGAAGTACGTATTATGAATTCAATGAAAGTACTAAAATATATAGATATTTTGAGATATTTACGTCATATGTATTGAGAAATAAGTTTTTTCTGAGTATAATAAATATTTTGTTAATACAAATCACGATTTTCAAATATTTAACTGTTGATGGAAAGGACAGTACAAAGAAAAAGAAATCTTACCTGGAAATGAATTACTATGTGATTACAACTATTCAGTTAATTTTTACAGTGTATTACAATGAATTATTTTAGGTTTTTATTAATTACATATGATTCATATTTATCATGATATTAGTTACTTTTATAATGTCATTATTTTCATCTCTTTTGCATTTTTTGTAGTGTTCTTTCCATCGATACTTACATGGTTTAAAAGTGGTCGTTAGAAAGACAGAAAATTCCCTTTCTATAAACAAAATATTCATTATACTCAGAAAAATATTTATCTATATATTTAGGAACAAAATCCGTGCAAGCTTTTATTGATTTGCTATTACAATATTTTAAAAATTGTCTACTTGCAGTTATGAACTTTACTCGTGTCACATACTGCTACACAGCTTCAATTCTAATTCAAATCAATTCTTAAAATAAAATTAACCTTTGGTTTTTTTTTGTCTATTTCGACAGAACAGTTATTATTTGAATGAAAATAGTTTTATTTCTGGATACTGATGCCATATGTGATAATGAAAGTTGCATTTTATTTCCAAGTAGTATTAGACAAGTACTACTATATTCCCGTTTTTTCAGTGGGTGAAATGTAACCATGACCGTATCTCAGTAAGACTGACAGAATGAATTTATCATCACTCATAAGCTTGTTAATATGTTTTTTGATTTATATTAAACTCATTTGGAATATATATGGTATAATAAAAAGACATCTTGTTCCATTGATATCCAAGATTCATAAAAAACTAATATTCCAATTGTGTTTATCCACATGTGAGATTCGTACAATTTTAATGTGCATCACAGTGACAATGAGAAAATTTCTGCCCTGTGTGTTAAAAGAACGTTAGAATCTATGTACGAAGTATGATTAGTATAATGTTAAAAAGATCATTAAAATCGAACAACTGTTCAAAAATTTCTTATTTTCACCGTAGGAAAGCATCTGAGTGATATCAATGAGAATGACTGTTTCAAAAACATTCGTTTCGAAAAAAAAACACAAAACAATATGAAATATTTTCTATCATCGATAAATTTGACGTCTGGCATTCGGCTCAGTCAAAGTGCTAAAATAAAACGTATCGTACTGTAGTAAAATGTAGTCTAAAAAACATGTTGAAAAATAAATCAATGATCAAGATTGGATCACTTTGATGCGGCTGAATCTTATCGAAAAAATAGTAATTCGATTTCCCACAACAAGAAAGATATTTAACATATCAAAGTGTAAACATACGATATGTTTTTTATTAGTGTGAATGTATACTGTTTGTGATTATATCGTATGACAAAAAAACTCTTATTCATTTTTAGACAAAGAAAGTGTTTCGGATACATATTGATATGTACCCATACAATTTACTTTTCTGATTTGGATATAGATATTCTCTTCATCCACACCACACCCTATTGTCCAGATTTAATGGTATGCGACATGAATCATATTCTTATGTAAAGAAAAGCAAGAAATAATTGTTTCTCATATATTCACATTCTATTCAGCAGAGAACTAAAACAGCTTAATTTTTCATATATAGATCAGTTGAATATATAAGCAAATAAATCAAGTATTTTCCATGAAAACATTCTATAACTTAATCTTTCTGAAGACATCAAACATAGCTAAATCTCGTTGTATACAGTACAAAATGCATTAGAAGGCTTTATACTATTAGCCAAAGGTTGCTGATATCGACAAAATATGTAATATAAAATAGAATTTTATAAGAAAGTACAGACAATTTTGCTAATAACAAGTCCCTTCTTTTTGTAAACTTTATCGTTTTTCAACCTTTAAGATTTTATTAATAAAATCTTAATCAAAGTAGATTACGAATTATCCTAACAATAAGTCGATCTAACTCAGAATTTAGCGAATTTTATCGTAATGATAAAGTGAAGAAGACTTAAAATAATAACCATCTACATTAGTCGTACTAAAAATTAATTCATATTTTTTTATTTTTATTTTATTTGACATTATTTATTAGTTTTGTTAATCCCCAGTAAGATTTTGTATCAAAGAAAGAATTTAAAACACCAAGCACTCAGTTGCTAAGAAAAAACAATAATAAAAAAAAACTAAAAACAAACATTCATCAACTATTATCCAACATAAAGAAAGAAAAAAAAAACTTTTATTTTTTCTTTTCTTTATAATTTTTCTGATGAATGATGATCATGAATAGTTTTTATTCTTGTATGATCATCATAAGAATTTTTCATATGTTGTTTAAGCATTTTTTCACTTTGATATTTAGAAAAAACTTGTAGTAATTCTGGACAATTTTGTTTTGCTGCTGTATCAATAACGCTTTCATTTTTATCATTTAACCAAGATGCATCACCTCCATGTCTTTTATCAAAAAAAAAATTAAATTTTATTATTTTCTTATTTAATTTCTAATTAAAAAATATAAACTTACTTGAGAAGAATTCTTAATGGCTCAGCACCATCAAGTCCTAATAAACAACATTCATGTAATGCTGTATTACCTCGTCTACAAAACAAAACAAAATCGATATTTCTTAACATTTCGAATATTAATGAACAAAAAAAGAAAAAGTACACAGTCAATCTTTGATTTCAATTGATATTAAAATCTCGATATATATATAGAACTTACGGTCCTTTTTTATTACGATGTTTTACTTTTGTTCGTTGTGATTTTTCTCTTGGATATTCATCTATGTAAAAAACAAAGTTTTTTTTTTGCAAAAGAATACTTTTGCCTACTATCAGAATAAATTGTATTTGAATATGGTGAACTTCGTTCATTATCTATTGAATAATATTCATTTGTTTCATTAATAAAAAATGGTGATTGTGAAAGATTTTCTGGTTTACGAAATACTGTTTGTATAGTTACTTGATATTCATTTTCATGTACAGTTGCATGAATCATATTACCCATACGTGGTTCACCTAAAAAAAATAATTAAATAATATATAAACTTTTTTAATATTAATATATAAGATATATGTATAGAGAGAGAGAATTTATATTTTAAATAATAATTATTATTCATTATAACAAAATAAAAGTATTAGTTTGTTTAAATATTAAAGATCTTTACCAATCAATGATTGAAAATCGGGTCGATTAACGACATAAGTTTTTAAATGAGCACAAATATGATCTAATTGTTGTCGCCAATATCCTTTTCCTGGACTTGTAGATGTTAATATTGGACGATATTCTTTCAATTCTTTTTCAGCTAATAATTTTTTATTTTGTGTTATAATTAAATCAATATCTTTTGCACTTAGATAATAAATTCCATATGTTTGTGTTGCAGCTTCTTTTTTAATTGTTGAATATGATTGATGATAATTAGTTAATGTTGTATTTGCATTAAGCCATACAGGATTAACTGAATTACGTGTTAATGTCTATAGAAAATAAGAATCTTTTTTTTTTTGTTTTCTTTTTATTCTTTAATTTTAATATACACTAGCAATCATTGATGATGATGAAATATTCAAATCATTTTAAAGACGTGTATCAATAATACGTAATGGTGGTTCAAGAACACATCCACATGTTGAACAAAATTTTGCAAATGAATCATTATTAGTATGACATTTTGTACATTGTATTGATGTAGATGCATGATCAGGATATGAACTACATCAATCACAAAAACGAGCATTAGGATTATTTAAACGAAAACATTTTGAACATGTTATCATCATTGTATTTGTTTGTTTTGATATTGTTGGAATTGAAATTGAAGTTCGTTTTTCCTATTGAAATATAAATACGGAAAAAATAAATAAGATTTTTTTTTTGTTTACTGGTGATGTCGATGTTGGTATTAATACATTTTCACACATATAACATGTTCGTAAATGTATTGGATTTGTTGATTTACAATGAGGACATAGAATTCTTGTCTAGAGAGGAACATTAAAATTTGATTAATTTTTTTGAAACCTGATTTTGAGAAGTTGGTCGCTGTTGTGGTTCTTTGGATACTGGTGTTTCACATACAACACATGTGTTAGAATTAAATGGAATAGTAAATTTACAATTTGTACATATATTAGTCTAATTAAAGAAAAATTATCCGTGTAAAATAAGATAACTACTATTCATTTGTAAAGTAATCAATACTGTTATGTAGAACAATACATGATCCGTCGAAGGATATACTCTTTATCAAATTTTACAGTTCTGAAAAGTCATATACCCCCCCCTCCCCCGAATTAAGGAAATATAACCGATTTTCTAATGTTTTTTTTGCGAAATCCTTCCTTTCCTATCATAATTAGTACAGTTTTTACAAAAAATGGTAGTTTTTTTAGCAAAAACACCTAAAAAACAATAATTAAAGTTATTAATGAATTATTCATTTTTTAAATAATTTTAATTAAAAACTGACCAAAAATTAACCCCAATAGAAGGCCATCCAAAAAATAGCGATGTGCCAAGACACTGTATAAGGGCATGAACTTTTATTCTGGGGGAGGGTTACTAGTTAACAGGTATTATAGCAATGATGGCTGTTGTAAGATATGACTGTCGAGGACAAAGGCAACCAACTATGCAACTTTTTCCGTGTTCTATAAGTGTGATTCCTGAGAATAGAAAAATATATGACTTTTCTTTTTGTTTTTAGGCTTCAGAACATCGAATGTGGTTCGGATATGTAGTTCTATCACATTCAACATATGTTTGGGTTTCTTATAAGAATTAATAGCTTTATCAAGATTCTGAAAGAGAAAAAACGTTTTTTTACTGTTTTCGAAAGACTCATATATATGTTAGATATAGGTTATTTTTGAGATCATATTACTCATCATTGCTCTTATATATCTTAGCTGGTATAATGACTTTTATGAAAAAATAATTTCGTAAATAACTATGAGTTGTTCAATAGAATGGGATTAGGTAGTTTCTTTTTTTCAAATGAAGGGTAGTCATCATATCCGATAGAATTATTTTGAATTACTGAATAATTATCCGGTGGATTATGAGTTAGTTTTTGCCAAGATAGACCACATTCCGTACAAAATCGTGTATATAAATCATTTAATTTAGGTGCAAAACAATGTGCACATCTAGAAAAGAAAAAAAAAAGCTCAAATAATAAAATAATTTTGTTCCGATAAACCTTAAAACATTTGTTTGTATTTGAGAATTTGAATATGTATAATTAGTTGGATTTTCTTGTACTAATGAATTAATTGTTGAACGACGCATTGATTCTATATAGAAAGTTGATTAATAATAAATAAAATTACTTTTTTTTTTGATACCAGATAATTTTTGTTGCATTTGTTCATTTTCATTTTGCATCTTTCTCATTAATTCCTATTGAAGTAAAATTATAAAATCAATTAATAAATATTTAACTGAATTAAATATGTAGAAAAAAGTTCGATTGCTTTACTAATTGTATGTTTACAAATTGTTTTTTAGATATATTCTTATCGGCGAAATGAAAAATATTTACAAGAAATTATATTCGTTAACATCTATCTCTATGTAAAGTTTCAAGTCGAAATTTAAAAACTAAAATTGAAGATGTGTCAATGACTTTGATAGGTTTTGAACTTCATAGAAAAAAAAACATTTTAATGAAGTAATATCGATAGACAAGCATTAAATTACTACTATTATATTAGTGATCTTCTAATTGAACTCTTGAGATATCGAGACATTCTTGAATATCAATTTTTTTAAATAAAATTAAAGATAAATATTTTTGCAAGCTAAAATATATTTATATTGAAAAATTGAATATTTAATTAAACTTTAACATCTTGATTAATCATCTATAATGACACATAAACTTACTCATATATCCAACAGATTATTTTATTTTCGTAATATTTTATGAAAAATTCAATGTATTCAGATATGTTTTCTATAAAAATCGAGTTCATAGTTTCTTTTAATGAAATCTCATCTTTTTCTAAAATATGCTTTTTCAAATTACTTAAATAAATACTAAAAATAATATATCTTTCACTTGATTCAAATTCATTGTACATTTCATATAAAAATAGGTATGATTTCATAATAAAAAAAAAAGTATTCTATACAGTATTTCAATAAACATGAGATAAGTAAATTTCTATTGAATTTATTTATTATCTATCATTTTGAAATTTTTTACCTTTCGTTCTTGTTGTAATTCATATAAATATCGATTTTCATATTCATCCGATAATGAATGATCTGATGGAATAATTTTAACATCAAATATTTTTGTTACTATAACACTTTCTCGTATTCCATCACTAAATAAATTTTAATAAAAAAAATAAAAATTCTTCAAACTGATTTTTTTGTTTTCCCAAATATCTTTACCGTGATGCCTGTATTAGCTATATCTCTTGGTATATAAAATGGTTTTTTATATTGTATAGTCGAACGTCGTGTTGCTAATGTTATAAATGCATCTGGTTTTGAACCATCTAATGTATAATAAATATCAACATCATTTGTATCACTACGTATTTCAATCAATGTATTTGTATCAATGGAAAATTTTTGTGTATATCCAACACGTAATGGAATTATTGACGGAGCAGATATTGAACCAGCAGTCGTTTTGTTTAACAATTCAAAAAGTAATTAAATTGACATGATGAAAGCATATCAAACTTTTTTACATCAAACGGTTGTCTATCATTTTGATATTTTTCATTACGAAGTTGTACTTCACGTCTTTCACGTTCTGCTTGTTCTCTATAATAATAATAATCAAAATTTCTTTAATCTTGTTCTTTTTTTTTGGGATTCTAAATAAAGACTTACCAACGAACTTTAATTATATTTAATTTATCTTTATATTTTGATGTTACATTAAGAACATTTTGTGAAAGATATTCAGATTGAGCATTAATTTCAGACTAGAACAAAAAACAAATGACAATAAAAAATTATTTTAATCTATATATAAATAATTATGTTGGATTCATCGTCTCAGTCTAGAGGAATATTATATATAAGATAAAAGAAAAAAAAAATAAGTGCAGAAAAATGTGCTTATGGAAATATTTTATCTAAGAAATTTAATAGTGAATAGAAAAACACGAAGAGAAAAAAAAGGAGAAGCAATAATAAATCATATGTATTAATACCAATTTTTTCCGTAGCTGAACTAGTCGAATCATAGAATAATATGTACGCGATATGTAAGAGAATGAAATTATTATTATTATTATTATTTTTTGTATTTTTTTTCTTTACCTTTTCTTTTTCTAATCGTTCACAACGACGTGGTGTTTCTTCAAGTACAATTTGTACATGTTCTAATTGATGTGTAGCTATACGAATACGTTCACATACATCATCATATTTTATTTTTAAAGATTTATAATCATTTTCAAATTCATCTGCACGTCGTCGTTCTTTTTCCAAAACAACATTTAAATTTGGTTCAATCTATATTTATTAATAAATATATTAATTAAAACATATAAAATTTTAAACAAAAAACCAAATAATTTGTTCTTGACAGAAAATAAATCATGTCTATATGTATATATATACGATAAAATTTTCTCATTATGACATGAATAATAACATACAATTTCCATAATGTGAGTAACATAAATGATACTATGATAAACAATATTGACTAATTAGATAAAAAAAAAACAATTTTACATAACAACAACAGTATTTGATATAACATCTTGTCGATATTTTTTATATTAATAGCTTATGACATTAAATCATGTCAACACGAACTGATTTACCTTTGATTAAAAAAAAAGAACGTGCAATTAATTAATTGTTAGAAAGACGAAAATAGAAACTGAGCACTTTTGAAGAGTTCTAATAGTACTCAAATTTGAGACGTTTTGCTTTAGGAATGTTTTAATTTTTGTTTATTAAATAATATTAAGTCGGTATTCATTGTAATGAATTGTGAGAGTGATTTCACGTATGTCGGCGGCATTCAATATGATGGCGTCTTGCGCCATCGGCACTTTCAGGGTTTTTTTTTCTTTTATTACAATATGTGAACCACTTATGATAAGAACTTTTTAGCAATAACATTTCCAATCGAAATGATTACCTTGACTTTTTGTTTTACTTTAAATTTGATAAAAGAAATCTGTTAATGTAATCTTTGAACCGGGACTTAAAACTGGTCCCGTAATATTTTCTGTTCCAGAACTAGACTACCTATTTCCATATTTATTATTCTGTTCTGACTAATGATCTACAAATAGGCCTTTTTTATTTATTTATGCCCAGGTCGAGAAGTACGAGTGGGTTCCGGCAGAAAAACACTGGAAGTTATTGGAACAGGGTGGCAGTATTCCGGCTGGACGCTTTTCGGATTTTTTCGGTGACTTCTGATCAAATTCCTCCCGTTTTCTTCAGGAAGTTGTCCGGAAAAAATCCGAAACTTTTCCGGCCGGAATACTGCCACCCTGTTCCGGCGACTTTCAGTGTTTTCGTGCAGGATACGGTGAATTTTTCCGCATCTTTCCTACAGGATCCGGTGACTGGAATCTTCGACCTAGGATTGTTAATTTCTCAAAATCATCAATATTCATTTTATATATATTCAAAAAATCATACAGATTATAAGAAAAGTCGTTTTTTTTTCTAGAAACAATAAAAAGTTTTAAATTGAAACCAGGACCAAAAAAAGAAAAGATGATCCCACTGATACCTAGTTGTTAATCATCGATTAATTGTTTTATTCGATCTATTTTAGAATATATTTTTACTTAGTTCCTATACAAATATAATAAGATATTTAAGTATTAAGAAAATTAATAATATTCATAAGTTAATATTTACTTTTTCTTTTTCATGTAATTGTTTTTGTACATTATTTAATTCATATTTAAGTGTATTTGTATGTTCAATTAATTCATTATAGCGTTCACGTAAACGTAATAATTCAAATTCAAGTTCAATATTTTTATTCTAATATAAAATATATTTATATAAAGAAATTTATTCATCATACATCAATATTTGATTCTTCATGTTGAGTTCTAATTCTATACGCAAAAAAAAAAATCATAGGAAAAATAAAATTCGAATATTTTTTGTTTGTGTCTATACTTTAATATTTGATTTTCATTTGTTAATTTCATAAGATTTTGTTTATTAATATCATCTAATCGTTGACTACATGTTAGAATATGTTTATGTAATACATCACATTTTAATTTAAGATTTTCCATATGAAATTTAATTCCTTCATCTGAATTATCAAACTAAAAAATAATGAATATTTTAAATATCAATCCAAAAAAAAAGAATGCAATTATACTGTTTGTTCAAATTGAATAGTTTTTTTCTCTGTAATTTCAAGTTCTTGACGAACAAGATCAATTTCACGTTCAAGTGAACGTTGTTGAATAATAGAAAATAATTTTGTTTGTTCAATATCTGATATATTTTGTGATTTTTCCATCTAATATATTTAAATTAAATTTTACTTTTTTGTTTTTGAATTTTTTATAATACATACTAAATATTTTAAAAGATCATTTTCTTCTTGTTGTGAAATAAATTTTAATTTAAATTCAAGTAATTTCCTTTCTGTTTGTTGCATAGTTTCAAATACTAATTGATGTATAGATAAAGATGATAATGTTGTTGTTGTTGTTTTTTGTTGATCCAATTTTTGATTAATATATGTTACAATATAATCAAGTTTAGAACGAAATGTTTCAATTTCATGTTGTAATTCAATATTTTGTTCCATAAATTTTTTGGATAATTCTTCAGCTTCTAATAAAATATAGAATTGAATTAATTAATTATTTCTATTCTCTATGAAAAGTTTCAAAATACAAAAAAAAATTAGTCTTTCTCATATTTAAGAAATGATAAATTAATATTATTATATTTGTTAGAATATATCTGAGAATAAAAGTGAATGTTTTATCTCAAAAGTATGCAAGTCAACATATATTTATCAGTATTTTAGTATCATTAGAAGATAATAAGAATGAAGCAAAGATCTTCTATAGAGAATTTTTTACTATAATCTTGATATCAAATATCAATTTTTTTTTAGGAATGATAAATTTACATTTAAAAAAAAAAGAATTGCTAAAGTTAAACGTAACTTAACAGGAAAAAGGGAATTACGATATTGAATTACAAGCCTACCGTAAGAATATAACATTCTCCGTTTAATAATGATCTTTAATTCTAACCGAGAATTTTTTTTTTCTTCTCTTCTTATGTTCATCATCAAAACTATAGTTGGTATATCTTATTGTTTAACCTCAGACGAATCCGTACAACTAATTATAATAATAGTTGAGAAGTTCGATATACGATAGTTTTTACTAAAGATGTATCTTCTTTGTTATTCGATAAACAACAATAAAAAGTATACAATAGA